TCAGGTACATATGTTAGTTACTGATAGTTCCTCTTCTGCAAAATCAATTTTCTTTGTTCTGCTTATCCATTATATAAGAAATATTAATTACAAGTTACTCTCTTATCCATGATACAGTGAGGGCATTACTTAATAGTTTGCTCAAAGGACCAAAAAGAAAACTCACAATAACTACTTGAAAGTATGACTGATTGAAAACATCAATAGAATAGAATAGAATTCTTTATTAGCCAAGTGTGATTGGACACACGAGGAATTTGTCTTTGGTGCATATGCTCTCAGCATAAATAAAAAGAAAAAATATATTTGTCAAGAATCATGAAGTACAACACTTAATGATAGTCATAGGGTACAAATAAGCAATCAAATCATACTAGGAAACAATATAAATTGTAAGGATACAAGCAACAAAGTTACAGTCATACAGTCATAAGTGAGAGGAAATGGGTGATAGGAATGATGAGAAGATTAATAGTAATGCAGACTTAGTAAATAGTTGGACAGTTTTGAGAGAATTATTTGTTTAGCAGAGTGATGGCATTAGGGGGAAAAACTGTTCTTGTGTCTAATTGTTCTGGTGTGCAGTGCTCTATAGTGTCGTTTTGAGGGTAGGAGTTGAAACAGTTTACGTTTGGGATGTGAGGGTCTGTAAATATTTTCACAGCCTTCTTTTTGACTTGTGTAGTATACAGGTCCTTGATGGAAGGCAGGTTGGTAGTAATTGTTTTTAATTATCCTTTGAAGTCTATGTCTTGTTGGGTTGTAGAACCAAACCAGATAATTACAGAGGTGCAGATGACAGACTCAGTAATTCCTCTGTAGAACTGTATCAGCAGCTCCTTGGGCAGTTTGAGCTTTCTGAGTTGGTGCAGAAAGAACATGCTTTGTTGTGCTCTTTTGATGACATTTTTGATGTTAGGTGTCCATTTTAGGTCTTGTGATATGATAGAACCTAGAAATGTGAAGGTCTCTACTGTTGATACTATGTTGTCTAGTATTGTAAGAGGTGGTAGTATGGGAGGGTTTCTTCTAAAGTCTACCACCTTACGGTTGGTAGACCGTTTTGAGTGTATTCAGTTCCACATTGTTCCAGTTACACCACAAGGCAAGTTATACAACCTCCCATCTGTATGCGGATTCATCGTTATCTCGAATGAGACCAATCACTGTTGTATCATCTGCAACAGATGAGTTGTTTGAGATGCAGTCATTGGTGTATAAAGAGAAGAGAAGTGGAGAGAGTGCATAGCCTTGGGGAGGAGGCTGTGTTAATTGTACAGGTATCTGATGTGATTCTGCTTAGCTTCATCTGTTGCTTCCTGATTGTTGGGAAACTTATGATCCACTTACAAGCTAGCTGGTTTAGTTTAGTTAGAACAATGTCTGGAATGATGGTATTGAATGCTGAACTAAAGTCTACAAAGAGAACCCTTGCGTAGGTATTTGGAGATTCAAGGTGTTATAGGATGTAGTGCAGAGCCATATTAACAGCACCATCTGTCAATCTATTTGCTTGGTATGCAAATTGTGGGGGATCTAACAGAGGATCCGTGATGGTTTTCAGGAGGGACAGCACTAGCCTTTCAAAAGTTTATATAACTACAGACATTAGAGCAACTGGTCTGTAGTCATTCAGTTCCTTGATGGAGGGCTTCTTTGGCACTGGGATGATAATAGATTGTTTGAAGCAAGAAGGAACATAACACATCTCTAGTGATTTATTGGAGATTCAGGTGAAGATGGGGGCCAATTGGTCAGCACAGACTTTTAAGCAAGAAGGAGTTATCTTATCAGGGCCTAGTGCTTTTCCTGGCTTTTGTCTGTGAAATAGATCTTGTACTTCTTTTTCTGTGACTCAGTGCAGTTTCTTCTCAGCTATAATCTAAATTTGACAAGAGCAAAATAGAATAGGAAACAAGAGGATCTAAGCAAATAGCAACTATTTCTGAACTTTTTGAGCATTAGAAGGTGCCCTATGGCATGCTCCAGTAAACATGCAGAAAAAGGCAGGAAACAATTGGCCATTAAAGTGCTGATATAAACTTCTATTTAGCTGTCACACCTATACCGCTAACACCTACGCTGCTAATGTTTGTTAAAGAACAAATAGTTAACAAAAATAAACACAATTTACTCTAAAAATTGGGGAAAGAAAATTCAATCTAATTTTCTAGAAATGTTCATTTGTCTTGTTGACATCCAGCATGGTGCAGTGGGTTCACTATTATTTAGAAAATTATCACTCCAGTTCTGTCAGTCATTCACCATCTGCTTAATTAATATTGTCAGCCAGGAGGAAATTGAAAATAGAGAAATCAACATTTAGGTGGATGTCTTTATATTAGCTTGTATAAAATATTTGTACTTGGTGAGTAATATGCAAAGACATAATATGAGTCATTTGAGCAATGTATGCACTTCTGTGCACACACACACAATCTATTTTGCCCTCATTATATCTTAAATTGTTTTCTCTTAGCTTGCATTTAAAAAGGAATGTAGACTTGGCTTTGGAAATGAGGGGGCAATGAGTGAATCATTTAAGCAGGACTTTAAAAAACTATTATTCGGTCCTGAAAAGGAGGGCAGTGTAAAGAAGAAAATCAAAATAACCCTACCTTAATTATATTTGATATAAGTTAGAGTAGAAAGAAGCTTAGACGGGCTTTCAAGATTCTGTTATTTTTCCTAACAATAAAGAGCAATCCTTCGAATTGCTACTGTGTCTGTCTCTTGACCTTACCTATTTTGAATGGCTGACATCGATCCTGAATGCCTCTGTAGTCTCCCATCAGAGAGATCGTTGATTGATTGATTATGTCACTTTTTTTACTCCTAACAACCACATAGATAGATTTTCTCCATGATAATCTATCCCTAACATAATTTTTCAGGTCTCCTGATGGTGCCCTCATGGCTACTGTAACTTAGTTCATCCACTTTGCTCCTGGTCTTTCTCTTCTTTTCTTTCTTTCCAGTTTTGCTAGCACAACAGAGCCTTTTCCAGAGAGCTACGATTTTGCACAATGAATGCATAATAGAGCAATTTGAGCTTAATCATTTGTGCCATGAATGAGAACTCTGGGCTGATTTGTTTGATGATGCATCAGTAACAGATGGATATACAAATAGCAAACTGCACAATGCTATGATGCAGCTAGCAAAATAATTTGGACAAGCCTTATCCCAGCTGAAAGCAGTTCCACAAGTTACTACACAGCCTGTATTGCTCTGTTGTCCAGAAAAATCTACTAGTGAAATTTTGGGGGTGGATGTCTCAAGATCAGTTCTTGATTTTCATGATGCAGTGTAAATCATTTATTACTAGATTCAAGTGGTATTTTCTATAGATTGGCCCAAGACCACCGTTGTCATTAGTCTGCTGAAAAAGCAGACAAATAGCTCATGCTGCTCATTGAGGGAAATAAAGGATTATTGGAAATTACCAGAATTGTTTGCAAAGTTTTAGAGATGCTTTTTGACAGATTAGCCAGAGAAACACCAGCAGATGAGGTGAAGTAAGAATATTGTTGAGTTTGTGAGTATATATATATATATATATATATACTGCAGTTGATTTCCAGTAGTATTCCAGAGATGAGCATTGGAATGGTCGTGCCCTGATTAACCCATTTTGGGAAGAACTTTTAACGATTTTTTGTAAAAAATTTAAATAAAGACTTATTGCATTTCTCTATTATCATGTCTCCTTTTCAAGCAATCTTAGGCTATCATAGCCTCTTGGTCTACTGTTCTTCATTTTCATGAGAGACATGCCACTCAGCTCCTCTTAAGAGAACAGTTAGATTTGGCCAAGGCCAAAGATTCTGATTAACTAAGTTGACATTACCAATAATTGTCAATAGACATAAGTATTCACTATTAAGATTGTTCTTATTAACATAAAATAGCAGAATCAGAAATGCTGTATTTTCATATAGCACATTTTGTATCTGTTAGGAATATGAGTCACCTAACAGCTATTTGGGCTAGAAATATATAAATCAGGATAAACATTTTAAAACTGTATCTTTAAGAAAATGCAAAACTGTAATTAGGTGTGGTTTCTCAAATGGCCATAAGATGGAGCCAGAAACCTGGGTTGTTTAGTCTGAGTCTCAGAAGAGAGTGTGAGTGTATCTCTGTTTCCTTCTGTTGGAAAGTATTGCTGTTCCTCCATTTCTTCTAATTGACTGATATTACTGGATTTAATGTAAGTCTGTTACTGAGCTGTTTTTTGACACTGGACTTTGATATTTGGATTATCCCTAGATTGAAAACTGACTGATTTACTTGTGAATGACTTTGGATTTCTTATTTTGGACTTTGCTTAAACCTTTCTGGAAGTAAAAACCTACACTTACTGTACAGTGTATCTGTGTACTGTGTATGTATTATTCAAACACTTTTCTCAAATATGTCTCCCTGTATGCACTCATTCTCCGAACGGGGAATTACCACAACAGTATCTAAGGCTAATTTTCACTGGATGTAGCAAATTGAATTTATTATTATTTTATGCACTATAGAAAAACGTTCAAGAACAAGATTTTCTCCACTTGTATTGTTTCTGCTCTTGAGTGGTAATGAGTGTTAGGAGGGCTTTTTGATCTAATATTAATTTTATAAATTGAATTCCACTTCTCTAGCTCCTATTCAGCCCCGTGAAGGCTCTTAGAAAATTGTAATGAAGCCTTAAATTTAGTCACTGAGGTGGAGAGAATTCTACTTAATGGAAGCTGTGAAAATATTAAAGGTTTTAAACCTCCAAGAGAACTATTTTCTCATTCATTGTAATACAGATGCCTTAATACAGTAGATAGGTACTTTAAAGTGTGTAAAGAATTATTTCCTAACATTATGCCAGTCATAAACTTTATATTGCTTGTAAACTTTATATTGCTTACAGTGTTTGAAAAAGTGTTTTGTCAGTTTGAAGTAGTAATGGATTACTTGGCTTTTCATAGTTTAATTAAAACTTTTCTTTCATCTTTCAACAGTCTTTTCCTGGTCCAAGCCTTGAAAGTGAAGATTTTAACATACCTCCCATCACTCCACCTTCATTACCTGACAATTCACTAGTGCATTTGAATGACACGGAATCTGGTTACCCTTCACTGTGTCACCCTCTCAACCATAATGGCCTGATTCCGTTCCACCCCCAAAATATGGATCTACCTGAAATCACAGTCTCTAATATGCTTGGCCAAGATGGAACGATGCTTTCAAATTCTTTGTCTGTGGTAAGCTTATTAATTTGCATGTGTGTTTGTGTCTGTGTGCATATATTATGCATGCATTTATGTATCTAAAAGAGATTTTTGAAACATATGTTTTTTAAAATGAATGTACTATTTGTACTTTGATAAGAAGCTTACTTTAAATTATACCTTATATAAGAGATTTGAGGATTGAAAAAAATTATACCCAAATCACATATATTGTGGAAGAAGTAGAAAGGCATTTCCACTGTGGATACTTCAGCAGATAAAACACTGCTGTACTGTATATAATTTCTGGAAGCCAGAAATAAATAAAATGGATGATCACCTTGCAATCTGGTATGTAGCCTTTGATCTCAAGACTTCAGGTTGTCCTTCAAAACCTTATTTATGGTCCTCAGTAAATGCTCCTGAATTGTATTGTTTTACAGGATAACATTATAAAGAGATTAACTATATTTACTATCATGTCATTTTAAATACCCTTAAATGTAACTAAATTAAATTTATAAACTGTTGTGGTACCATCTACTTTCTGGAGAACAGCCTCTGGCATGCCACTCAAAGTCCAGAATGTATATGCCAATGTTTTCCGGATTGTCTCATATTTGACATGCTAGGAAGGAGAAAAATAATCTATAATGCAAAAATCAGAGAAGAACTGGATTTATAATAAAACCATGCATGATTAGGTAAAGAGTTCTGATTGCATTGCTAGTTTCAACTAAAACGAATAAACTTTGTTGTTGTTATTGAATACAGCATGTATACTTATCTTAAGTTTTTTTAACATTAAATAGGATATTTATTCTTTGGGAAAAGATTTTGAGATGGTATTCTTCAATATTTCTTTTTCAGAATGTGTGGTTAATTTCCATGGCTACTGAATTTTAGAAAATTATTAACAATCAAATAGCCCTTTGAATCATGAAAACTAGAATATTTCACTGAAAACTAATGAAAGAAATAAAGAAAATGGGCCAACCTTATTAGCCTTCCACAAGGAATTGAAGACTTTGCTGTTCCTGCAGGCATTTTCATTGGGGTGGGGGGATGAGTTCTGCCACTATGGGTTATTAGTAGTTAATACTTTATCCTTGGGTGTGGAAGAGTTATAGTTTCAGAGGAAGAGTATTTTTAATTTTCTAAGCCGCCCAGAATCATTTATGTGAGGTGGCTTACTACATACTTTTTTTTCCTGGACTGAATTAATATCTGTTCCTACATGGAGTCTAAATGCTGCTTCAAGTTTCACCTTTTGGGATGAAATGAATGCAGACTTGATATAAAGAAAAATATCTGAATCCTATGAAGATCTTAGGAGTATAAGAATAGTATTTAACACATATGTACTGGATTCCAGTAATGGTATATCACAAGACTGTTTCTGTATTGAGGGCTAGAGTTTGGAAGCCAAGTATTTCCCTAACGATCTGATGTTTCATATCTATTTCTTTCAAAGAAGGAGCAGTAGAATTTTGAGAGCTTGTGGATATTCAGACTGAGAAAGTCATTAAGAAAAAGTAAATACAGGTAGGCCTTGACTTAAAATGGTTCATTTAGTGACCATTTTATAACGATTACAATGACACTGAAAAATGTAACTTATAACAATTTTTCAAAGTTGCCACCTTTGCAGCATCCCCATGGTCATGTGATCAAAATTCAGATGCTTGGCAACTGGTTCATATTTATGACTTGCTGTATCCCAAGGGCATGTGATCACCTTTTGCAACCTTCGGGCAAGCAAAGTCAATGGAGAAGCCAGATTCACTTAACAATTGGGTTCCTAATGTATCAACTATGATGATTCACTTAACAGCTGTGGCAAGAAAAGTCATAAAATAGGGCAAAACTTACTTAACAAATGTTTCATTTAACAACAGAAATTTTTGGCCCAATTGTGGTTGTAAGTTGAGGAATTATAGTTGGGGAACTATTCAAGATATTTTAGGGAATTTTAATAAAGAAACTGGAAGAAAAATATTGATAACCTAATAGAAGAAAGAAAACACACTGCATGGTTTATTTAGGTTCAAGTCATTTGCTTTTTTTAAGAGATTTTTTTTTAAAACAGTAGAGTCTAGCTTTTTAACAAATTAAAACTTTTAGTATATTTAAACTATTCATTAAGATGAATAGATCTTACAATATTATTTTACATTGATTTTACAGTTCACATTTTAAAAAGCATGTCTTTCTGTAATTTTGAAAGGAAATTATCTATGGAAATCCTTTTGGATAATATCTAAAAACATCAGCTGCTATTTAATTTAAAATGTACTATTCATGCAAGGGTATGATATTTCACAATATTAGAAGTATGAATCATACCTTTTTCTCAGTATAACTACGTCACATGTAATAAAATATTTGGCTTACATATGCCCTATGAATTTATAGCTATATTTGGAAGACTTCCCTGGAATCATAGTGCTGGATATGAGAATACATAATAGAGTGAGAGATAATGGAAAAAAAATGTAAGGTTATTAGGAAAAAAAAGTATGTAACAGGAAAAGAAGGAGGTACACTTGATTTTGTAATAATACTCGTGAAAAGGTTTTGGAATTCAGATTGTTCAAGTTTAAGTTTCATCAATAAATGTAGCTTGTGAATTCCATTCTATTCTGTATTGTTACTTAGTTTACTTTATTGTCATTCCACCTCGTACAACAAAATCAAACACCATCTTCAGTGCACATCATGACCATGAAAATAAACACAAACACACATCTTTCACACTCCACACATTGAATTGAAAACCACCGACATTGCACCAACACTGCACTATACAGTAGAATTCAGCAGAGCTACTGCCCTGGGATAATACCATGTTTCTCATATAATAAGGCCGGGTCTTTTTTTTTTTTTTGAGCCCCCCCAAAATGGCTAGGCTGTCTTTTCAGGGGTGACTTAATTCCCCCCCCCCCCTTTCATCTTTGGGCAGGCAGGCAGCGATGGCTTGAATGTTGACCTCAGCGTTGGTGGGGCACTTCGTATCAGGGTCAACGCAGGCAGCACCATATCTGGGTGTGCAACAAAAGTACTTCCTAACGCAAGCCCCCCCACCATTCCCCCCCATTTTGCATGTTTTAATATAGGCCTTAATTTGGGGGGAGGGGCTTAATTTCATTTCATGCCTATAAAACATGCTGGGATTTCCTATTGGGGGAGGCAGCATTGTTGGAGAAACAGGGTAGTAGCTATTTTTCAGCCTTGGTTAGACCTATATCAAGGACTTGGACTTTATCCAAGTCTAGGTAACACACTTTAAGAATCATTACCAAACAATTGGGCAAGAGGGTAACAAGGATGATAGAATAAGTCTTAGGAGAATGCATTGCAGAAATTTTGGAAAAGACAGATGACTGGTATGATAGCATTATTTAAGATCTGCTACATGGACATGAAGGGAGGAGTGGCTCAATGGCTAAGATGCTGACCTTATCAATTAGAAAGGTCGGCAGTTCGAATTCCTAGCACCGCATAATGGAGTGTGCTCCTGTTACTTGTCCCAGATTCTGCCAATCTAGCAGTTCAAAAGCATGTAAAAATGCAAGTAGAAAAATAGGGACCATTTTGATGGGAAGGTGACAGTGTTCCGTGAGCCTTCAGCATTTAGTCATGCCGGTCACATGACCACGGAGATGTCTTCGGACAGCGCTGGCTCTGTAACGGATCTAGAAACGAGTAGCATGTATGTGTGAGGGGAACCTTTACCTTTACATAGATATGGAATAATGGTTTAAAAGAAAAGGAAGGGGAAATTTTTATTTGAATTTCTTCACTGAGAAGGGTGTTAGATTGTGTCCTCAGTTCTGTTGCTAACTAAGACAGTCGTTGAGTTTTGCCCCATTTTACAACCTTTCCTGCCACAGTTGTTAAGTGAATCACTGCAATTATTAAATTAGTAACACAGTTGTTAAGTGGATCTGGCTTCCCCATTGACTTTGCTTATCAAAAATTTTTTGCAAAAACAGGACTCCAAGAAACTGCAACTGTCATAAATATGAATTAGTTGCCAAGCATCTAAATTTTGATCATGAGACCACAGAGATGCTGCAACTGTCATAAGTGTAAAAATGGTCATAAGTCACTTTTTTTAAGTGCTTTTGTAACTTCCAATGATCACTAAATGAACTGTCATAAGTTGAGGACTATCTGGATGTAATTGCTATTCTTGATCTGTCTTAAAACAAAGAAATACTTTTTCATTTTCTTTTTTGGATCTTTTTTTCTTATCCTGGGTATGTGGCACAGAAGCAATAACCAGAGTAACAAAGAAGACATTGTGTGGTGTAGCATATTGAAAATTAACCCAAGCTGCACCATACAAAGGTATCTTTTTGTGCTGATTATGATGAGACTTGATTGCAATATTTGCAAGGCCATAGAGATGGGATGAAAACTGAAAGGTATAACCATCTTGTTTTAAGAAAGTGCTGTCACCTCAGAGGAAAAAAAGCTAAACATAAGACATTGGTGTAATCTGGATAGAAACAAATGTAAATGCAATTTGAGGTTTACTCAAGCAATGTAAACTTTCTAGATGATAAGAAGCAATTATACCATTCTCTTTTCTTTTCATCTTTTCATTACCTGTTCTGGGCCTCAGAGTTTAAGAAAGATCCTCAGAAATTGAAACAGGTTAAGAAAATGGTAACAAAGATGAGCAGAGAAGTTGGTATTAGGTATTATTAAGAGAGATTGAAAAAGATTAATATATTTTTCATGAGACATGAAGGCTAGAAAATAGGGATCAAATATATTTCAAGAAGGCAAAAGAAGGTCAAGGCATGTCTTCTTTTGTTTCAAACTACATGAAAGCTTTCCAGATTACAGAAATAATGAATTTAAGTTTCAGAAATGAAGATTACATTTTAGAAAATACTTCAAATCAGAGACAGCATTTTAACATTGGAGCCAGTCCTCAGAACAATGAATTTCTTTCGGTGAATGTGCTCAAGGGAACTCTGGACAGTAGGTCTGTGCAAAAATTTGAAACAAGTGGTTTGCCA